CACAATCTCTGGCTACTGGTGATTTTAATAATGATGGTTGGTTAGACATAATTGTTGCTAATGATGGTCCTGATAATGTTGGTATTTTTCTTGGGTATGGTGATGGTTTCTTTGCAGATCAAATGACTTTTCCAACTGATAATAATCCATCGTTTGCAGCTATTGGTGATGTCAATAATGACACTCTGTTAGATATTGTTGCTGCTACCCTCGGTTTGCGCACTGTCAGTATTCTTTTAGGATATGGTAATGGTTCTTTTGCAAATTTCATGAAATTTTCAGTAGGCATTTTCCCAGAATCTTTAGCCGTTGTTGATATCAATAATGACGCTAAATTAGATATTATTGTCACAAATAAGGGTAGCAATTATGTGTGTGTATTATTAGGGTATGGAAATGGCTCGTTTGCACCTCAAATTATATATCCAACAGGCGTCTCTCCACAATCTTTAGCTATTGGTGATTTTAATAATGATACTCTACTTGATATAGTTGTCACAAATGCAGGCGATAATAATATTATGATACTATTTGGTTGTCTTAATCAAATTTTTGTAAAGCAAATGGTAGTTTCTACTGGGGAAGATTCTCAAACACGATCTGTTGTTATTGGTGATTTTAATAATGATAATAAAATGGATATTGGAGTAGCCAATTCAGGTACTAATAATATTGGTATTTTTCTTGGATATGGAAATATTACTTTTACAAATCAAACAACATATTCAACTGGTTCAAATTCATCTCCATATTTTTTAGCAGTTGGCGATTTCAATAATGATACTCAACTAGATATTGTTACTGCTAATTATGAATCCGATACAATAAGCATTTTTCTTGGCTCTGGTGATGGTAAATTTGCAAATCAGACATCATATTCAACTGGTTCATCTTCATCTCCTTGCTTTGTAGTTGTTGGTTATTTTAATAATGACAACAAACTTGATATTGGTGTAGTTAATTATAATAACAACAAGTTAGGTTTGTTTCTTGGACTGGGTAATGGAATATTTGATAATATAATGATATTTTCGATGGCATATGGTTCTCATCCATTTTCTGTTGCTATCGGTGATTTTAGTAGCGATGGTAAATTGGATTTTGCTGTGGCAAATGATGGTACTGACAATTTAAATGTTTTTTTACAAACCTGCTAATTTTGTTTCTTTCGTTCTATTTTCTTTTTATTCTTCGATTTTAAGTTCATATAAAATATATTTATTTTCATTTTATTAATCAACTATTTTGTTAGATAAAACCTCAGTATAAGGGTAGTATTGAAAGAAAAATGTGATACAAATGGTACAGAATTAAAATGTGAAAACTCTTCAATATCTTAATAACAGGTAATCGTTCGATGATGAGATGCCTATAAATATGTAAATCATAACTATTGACTGTCATCTATAAATTCAATATAATCATTTCAAATCTTTTATTTCATTGAATTCGATGATTATAATAATTAGTATTATAATAATTTGCTTCATTGCAGCGCATCACTAGATTATTTTCATTATCTAAAACGTAGATATGACAAAAATCATCAACAATGATGCCTCAAAGCTTAGATTATGGGCTGCTATGGGTATAATAAAAACAAAATTGACACCCTTCGTTCATAGAAAAATGTATTGGTTCAATATTTGCTTTGGGATAAATTTCTAATGCAAAGGTTGTTGATGTAAATAATTGAATAATTACAACTACTGCTTGATTATCAATCCATCCTATTTGACGAAGTTAGCTTAAATTACTTTGAATATAAGATAAACGATCTGAGTTTTATATTTAAATGATTGACGAATTATTAAACTGTAATTGAGTGTTATTATTATTATTATTTTTCTTTGATGAAGAAATTATAATAGTATCGACATGTCGATAACACTTGCTTTTTAGCATGAAATAAACTTGATTTAATACGTAATTATCTCATTGTTGCCCAACCAATAAATCGATTCGATTTGTCATTGATAAAACCACTTAAATTTCAAGGTAGTCCATTGCTATGCACGAATGTTTCCAACAAAACTATATTCTAATCAATTTGTCATGAACTTGAAGAAAAGAATTTGATTAATGATTTAAATAAATAATAGGAAACAAAGATAATAAAAAATTTCTCAAATAATTGACCGCATATGAATTTCTTTTAAACATTGAGTACGTGCATATACGTATTTTCAGTTGTATTTAAACGATTTACTCAAATTGAAGATCAGTAAGTAAAGAGTATTCTGCTAAAATATTTCTTATTGATTGCTACTCTTATTTTATACCTATAATGAATAAACCTTTTACTTTCAATGGTTATGTAAGAAGAATCTTGAGGGTGTGGGCGAGATGTACATGTAGGTTTTGAATGTAAAACAATCAAGCAACACTCATACCCACACCCACATCCTGTTATTTCTCAGTTCTTGAACACTACTGAATGAATAGTTATAGAATGTGGTTCTTGTTTATTTTCAATAAAATACGAATAATTAGTAATTACATTTTATTAATAATCTTGATATGTTTCAAGACCTTATAGAGACGTTGAATATGGATGTAAAAAGTTAGAAAAATGCAGTTATTTATTTAGAGATAACGCGTCTAGACAATACCGATAGTATTTCAAATTAGACGTTCAATCATCCGAAATACTCAGAAGCGTCGCTGGACTATGATTAACCATCGTTGGAAGGTCATGACACACTCTTTTCGGAATGCTTTCGAGGCCACTGTAAACAAGATGAATGTAATCTAGAAATAAAGGACAAAAAAAACTCGACTTTAGTTTTAGACAAAAAAGCAGACAAATAAACATACCGCTGTGTACGTAAATAGGAGATTGAAGCCAAGTCTACCGAGAAACAAAATCATTAGTTGTTGATTGATAGTTAACGGACCTTGATTAGTTGTCAAGAATCCGTAGAGAGGAAAAATTGATTCGATAAAATTAAGAACCAAGTAGACAATGACTTGAAGGAGAGACAATCGAACAAACTGCATATTTCGTTTGAACAGTTGCTGTGCGGTCTGTGCATTTGGCATGATCGTTTGCTGTGTTTCAATATGAATCGAAATATTTGTTGCTACTGGATGAATCTGGCGATTAACGCGGGAATGTAGGTTAAACACAGTCAAAACACTAAATACACTGATAACAACCATTGTTCCCAACGAAATAACAATGCTTTCAATTGAGACAAAAAATGCATAATTAGAACCCAATGGTGCTGTACAATCAAGTGCAGTAGGTTGATAACCAATAGGTGCATGCAGACTAAATATTGCCCAGAAGATTACACCAGTGATAATCAACCATTGAGAGAGGCGAATTGAGCTCTGCTGACGAAGTCTAGCACTAGATGAAGTGATCATCCATCGATCAATTGAAACCAAACAAAGAAAATATCGAGCAAGATTAAAACTCAATTCAAAGCCATATGCACGAAACTTGCAAAGACTAGAAATATATTGAAAAACATTGTTACCAGTTGAAGTAATAATTATACGAGAAAGACAAACTAAATCAAGCAGAATAAGATGAGTGAGAGAGAGACAAATAAAATACCACGAACAAACATTTTTTCGTAGGTCACGTCGTCCAAATATCAGAATATTGGCTACATTGCCAAAATTACCAAGAACAAGAATAATTGGTTCTTCATATCGAATAATTTGTACCTGAATTTGACTAATTTGCTTCAAAACTGAGAGATCCATTCTCGATTTTAATACACAATGAGAGTTCTTCTTTCTATTTTGTACGTACGTTCATAAATAGTCATCTGATGATGATCATCGAAGAAGAAGATGTTGACTTGACAGTATTTTCTTCTTTTATGAAAAACGTATTAACTACTTGGTGAGAAAATCTGTAAGGGACATAATAAATGAATTAGTAATGAACAGAAGAATGTTTGACGAACATCTCTTTCTGTTTATGATTTGGATAATTAGATGAAATAACATGAAAATATCCGGCTCATATAGAAAGATTCTGTGATAGACAAACCACTACATAACTCTGATGAAACGTAATGATAGATAATATTGTTTGACAAATTTATTTTAAAATATTCATGAATAAATAAAGAAAAAGGGGAAAATAATTATCGATCAGTAGTGATAATCTTGATTTAATTTGAGTTTTGTATACGGAAATTTCTCTGAAGTAATTCATCGATCAGTTGTTTGATCTCTTTGCTAATAGGATTCCGTGAAAGATCGAGTGTGATGATTCGCTATAGAAAAAACGAACATAGATATACTATGAATAAAGAAAACTAAAGATTACTGTATTGTTTTGTAAGGCATTAGCCAAGTCTTGTGCTCCGGCTTCCTCAATATCATTTCCAGAAAGATCGAGTATACTTAATGACTAGATGAAAAACGTATTTTGAAAAAGATACATACGATGGATAAATGAACAATAATATTACCGTGTTATATAGTAAAGCATCAGCTATAAACTTTGCTCCTTTGTTCCATATTAAATTGCATGAAAGATTGAGTGTAGTAAGTGTCTGTATTGAAAGTGAAATAAAACGTAAGAGAGGTTGAATGAAAATCAAATTTACTGTAATATGAGGTAATGCATCAGCTACAAACTGCGCTCCTTTTGCGCCAAAATTGTTTCCTCTAAGATCAAGTGTTGTCAGTGTCTGTATATAAAAACAAATTTCATATAAAATAGATAAAGAATAAATACTACGAACATTATTTCGTGTTAATGCATCAACAAGAAATTGTACTCCTGCAGCCCCCAAACTATTTCCGCTAAGATCTAATGTAATAAGCGACTGAATGAAAAAAAAATAATGATGATGATAATACGGAAGAAATATGAGAAGAATGAATATTACTTTATTATTTTCTAATACGTTTGCGAGTTGTTTTGCGTCATTATCTCCAATTGAATTAAATCGAAGATCAAGTGTAGTGAGCGTCTAAATGTAAATTCATGGTACGTATGATTAGAATGAAGACGCAATGAAATTCACCGTATTATATTGTAATCCATTGGTCAGATATTGCAATGCTTCATTCATAATTTGATTTAATGGAAGATGAAGTGTAAGAAGTGTCTGAATGAAAAATAAAACATGAACATGAAAAAAAGAATAGAATATAGTCACTAAGTTAATTTGTAATGCATCAGCTAACTGTTGTGCTCCGAATATTCCGATTTCATTATTTCCAACGTGAAGTGTAGTAAGTGTCTGTACGAAAGAGTAATGAGTAAGTAAGAGAATCAAAGAAATATATATGGTCATAGTCACCGTATTCTTTTCTAGTGCATAAGCTAGTTGCTGTAGTCCACTGTCTCCGATATGAGTCTCTTGAAGATTGAGTGTATTAAGTGTCTACATTCGAAAATAGTAATAGATTTTGAAAACATGATAGACATCGCAGTTACCACATCATTTAACAGTGCATCAGCTAAATCTTGTGCTCCTTGCTCTCCAATAGAATATCCTGCAAGGTCCAATACCGTAAGTGTCTATGTAAAAACAATGCAAGAAAATGATACATATAAGATCAGTACAAAAAAATTAATTAAATTTATACCTCTGTTGCAATAATATCATCCCTTCCATTTGTTCGATGCTTGATGAGACGGCAAACACTGTTCAATGGCAAAGTCTCACATCTTACTAAAATCTCGCAATCATTCATACAAATTGGTTTAGTGTAAAGGATGATTTGAGATGTTTTTACAACATGATCACAAGTAGCAAACCAATGTTTGTCATTTATCCAGAATGATGTTCTGAATGTAGCAATGATTGAGTTGACACTATGAACAGGAAGATTTCTTTGAACAGGATACACAAAGAAAAATTCAAATTTTTTTAATTGTGTTAATCGAATTTGAATAAATTGTTCCCAAAAAGAACCATCAAAGACAGGTCCATACACTTTTCTAGGAGATATTAATTTAAGATTAACAAGGACAGGTGTTAATAAAAGAAACAATCTTAAATATTCAATCGGTAACTGACAATTATATATGGTCAAAGATTTTAATTGGTGATATGTTCTGTCAATTGCTGACGATCTAACAGTTTCATCATTGTCATTATTATCGCAATATTCTACTTGGAACGTTTGTAAATTAGGTAAACTATGAAGAATATTTCGATATTGGTAATAAGTACAAATATGAATCGCTAGATGTTTCAATACGTGTTGAACTGGTCTGAATATATGTCCAACTAGATAATCGAGATTACTGAGACGTAATGGGAAAAGATTGTGCTGATCGATAATCTTCGAAAGAATAGTAAGTTTTTGTCTGCTTTGTGCATTAGTTTGACCAAAATTTAACGATTTCAGTCCATTAAATCGTCGAATGTCGAAGATTGTGAGAAATAAATGAATTTCATCTAATCTCTTTGTATCAGCATCAGAAAAAGTAACTGAACTAATGTGATCGGGTGGAATGAAACGCGTAACAAATTTCACATCGGACTGTGACATTGAACTAAAGTTGAGTTTACATCTGTTATAACTAATGATGACATTGTATAATTTTGTACACACAAAACGAAGTAAACGAATAGTGTTAATATCGAGATGATCAAAAATGCGATGAAGAAGTTCGACGGGTAGTTTGCAAAGATATATATTTGCCATAAATATAGTTTTATCGAAGTATCTCAATTGTTATGAATTTGTTATAATATACGTCAATTCTAAAGTAATTTTCATATCAATCAGAAAAATATTCGTTGTTAGAAGGAGAAAAAAACAACGTCACATGTTTTTTCTTCATAGTTGAGTATAATATAACGTAGAAAAATCACGTTTCTTCGAGAGAGTCAACGTCAGTCGAGAAATTGTTTTTTCTATTCTGACTCGACAGAACGACAAAATGAAATAAAACTTATGTAATATCGTGCTGCCCGTTGTTTATTAATTTTTTAAATTTCAGATAAACGAACGATTCGATCAATTCAAAATCATCTTGAGGGTATGGGTGTGAGGAGAAAGTAATGCTCACATCTCCACCCCACATTCATCATGTAGACAAACGAATTAAAGCGTCACTACGTTAAAATATGAAAAAAATTAGTTAAAAATGATTGTTTGCAATTTTAGAATATTCAAATTCTTCTGATAATACTGGTTTATTTCTTATCTACTGGATTGATAGGGAACACATCGGCTCGGTCTTTTTTTTCTTTCGTTCCTTTTTATATGTTATATTATATTAAATACAGACTAAGTAAAAAGAGAAAAAGAAAAAAAAACACGTGTGTTTCAAACTAATTTTTTGTTCTTTCAGTGTAACTATAAAAGATGACTTCTAACTTCATAATACGGCGTGCTACCGTCGAAGATGCTCCTCAGCTTTCACTTCTTGGAAGAAAAACATTTTACGAAACTTATACAAATGAACTTAGCATTGATCTTGATTCTCAACGAATAGAAGAGTATGTAGAACGAGAACATTCAGTTCAAGCTTATTGTGAGACGATTAATGATCCATTGCAAGGTGTTTGGATTGTTTTCAATGAAAATGGAAACAAGGAAGAACCAATTGCGTATGCTGTTGCAACACGATTCAATCTATTGCCAGACTACTCTTCTGATCCAAATGACTTTGGAATAAAACGCATCTACGTCCGACGCGACTACCAAGGTAAACAAATTGGATGGAAATTAATGACTGAAATCATAGTTTGGTTCAAAACTGTTACACCTCAACCGAATCGTATTCTTCTTAGGGTACATTCTAAGAATTTAAAGGCAATTCGTTTCTATGAAAAATATGGATTTGAACAACTTGATGAACAAAGTTTAAGATTAGGCGAAAGAATTTATAATATTTTCTCTTACGATCTGTCTCATCGCGCAGAACAATAACGTTTTTTTTCTAACACAAATTTCTCAAAAACGCTGTTCTTGATGATGTGGTTGTAGATCTCGATGAAAAGAATAATTATACCCACATCCTAGTCTATGTTGACTGCAAATGTTGTTCGGTATGTAGTGTTTATTAGTCGAATTATTAAAAAAATCAAATTGAACAATATTGAGATGTGTTAGATGTAGTAAATAATTCCATTCAGTCATAATTTCTTTCATTTTCTGATCGAAACGAAGAGCAATAACTCGATCAACAATTAATAGTACGTATTGTTGAAAAATGATGTCGAAATCATGCTTAGATATCGAACAAAAATCAAGACGACCAGATGCTTGAAAATGTTTCACGAGAAGATTTCTTTTAGTATTAATGTGAGGAAGTAATGATATCTGCGCATCAAACTACTTTTGGCTGTTTAAAGCTTTGAAAGAGCATTGACTACACAACAATTGTATATTATGAATAGTATTTGTGGCTATTATATGCCTAACAATAATAAATTCAAAAAAGAATCGTCTAATATTCACAATTACACAGATATGAATATGACGTTTTCTTCTTATGAATCTGTAGTGAAAAACGAATTCTGATATTTATTGTAGCCTTTCATATACATACTATGTTGAGAATGTGAGTAGATATCGATATTATGGTCATCTCACCTCGAAATCTTCATTCATAAAGACTATACAAAATATCGTAAATGTAAACACTTTTCATTTATTTATTTTAAAGAATAAATGAAGTATTTGTGCAGATAATCGACGATGGACATGAGCATATATGGAATACATCAAAATTCTCACCCACACACACACACGTCTAAACGCTACGATCACATTCATTTTGAGACGTGCATATCAAAAAGTTAATAGAAAGAAAGAAAGAAGAAAAGAGAACGAAGCTTTAAAAACATTACAAGCCATAAAACTAAGATAATAATATATGCATTTTTATTCATTATATCTAATTTATAAATTAATTGGAATATCTCTTTAGTACAAAGTTCTGTTTTAAATACTACACTGTAAAATAGTTTCTTGAATTATCATATACTTGACGTATTTATTTGAAAAAAACTTTTTCAAAGCGACGATTTAATAGAATAATTAAAATTGTCTTGAGTAGTTTTTTGTTGAGAAGACATACTCATCCGTATATATAAATTGGCTTATGAAAAAAATAGTCATTAAAACGGAAGAGTTATCGAAAAAGAAATTCTGAATTAATATTACAGGTAACACGTTGGCTCTATGAGCCTCGTTTATCTCAATCCTGATAGTGGGAGAAATAATATGGCATTTTGAAACTTGTAATCTGATTGGTTGATTTCTTCAACAAATCAGACGTCGGACAGGCAGACTAGCAATTTATGTTGTGCATAATCATCCTGTCAGGATTGAGAATAATAGATTTTTTTTGTTATGAAAACAGGCGAAGAATAAAATAATATCAATAGATCCGTTGGAGATTCACCCAAGTTCAAATTATGATAAAAATAATAAAGTTAATGATTGTGAATTTTAAAAACGTATTCACCACTGATAGTTTAACGTCTGATTTTGAAATCTTCTATAATTTACTACAAGACATTAAATATTTAGATGGTAATATATTGAAAAAAGTCATCTTATCCACAATTTTTCACGAAGAAATGAATGAAACACTATATATAATGATGCTCTTATATGGTTCTATCAAGGATATCTATTAATTTTTAAATATTTACCATATTCATCTGTGCACTAAAGAAAATGATCCTATTCATAATCTTATATGTATTCCTGTTGAAAAAACGATCATGGAATATCAGTGACTATATATTATATATAAGATAGATCAAAAGGAAACATCATATTTACAATCTGTTATTGTAAAAGAAATTTATTTGAGAGCTATTTTCATAAAATTTTATTATATACATATTTAATTGATATTCGTATATCAATTATAAGAAATAATAGTTGATGTTCTAATGGCAACAACAAGATAAAGAAGAGATGCCCTCATATTTAAGTATTCATGAAAATGAACATCTGAAAAAGTTATCCAAAAAAGAAAACTAAATCGTATTAAACACAACACATTTCTAAAAGTAAATATTTTATTCTTTTTAATCTTTTTCAATATATTTTATGCAGCATTTGGTGTTATTCCCTGATTTTCTCTTTTTTTATTTTTCTAGGAAATCATGATAAATATTATGTCAAGCAATTTACGTCTGTATTTTATTCAACAGAGTTTTTACATTAATACCAAATAACTCTCTCGCATCTGGCAATATTCTATTAAAAACTAACTTTAAAAAAAAGGAAATACGATCTTTTTTGTTATTGCAAATTTGACAACATTTTGAACTGATTATTTAAGATAAAGCTCGTTTTTATTTAATTGATGCGAAGTAGAAAAATATATCTCATTCTCACATAATTTTTAATTATTTCACGTAAGAATAAATCAAAACTTTATTTTAACATTGTTTTATTTTGGTTTAAATTGATTAATTAATGAAATATATTAAATCTCATAATTACAAAGAAAATATTCAATGAAATAATTTATTTTTTCTACAATTATATCAATACTATGAAATGATCTTTGAAGACAAAAGATTTTTTTTGTGAATTTTAGATTGTAAAAATATTCAAGCTCGGATAGATCAACAACTATGAACATCAATAACAGAGTTGGACCTGATGAAGTAATGTATTAAATAAAAAAGAAATAATCTTATTTTCTTTTGAAATATTTTAGTCGGCAGTAGTTAATCTTAATACGGTACGATTACGAACATTGTATGTATATATTATGAATTCCAATAAATTATTAAAATAATTTTCCTATTTTAGACTTGAACATTTTCGAAAACGAAAATTAATTTGGATAATACTTTCCATTATTTTTATTGCTGCAATTATAGTTATTCTAACAATTATTGTTACAGGAAACAAAACAAAGAAGGAAAAAACATCAACAATAGAGATAGCAACAGCAACAACAACAGAGATATCAACAGAAATATCAGCAGAGATAACAACAGTAACAACGACGACGACGACAACAACGATAACAACAACAACGATAACAACAACAACAGCAACAGTAGCAACAACAACAATAACAACGACAACGATGACAAGTGGTATGATTTCGATGGAACTAGTTCGTTGCTTATATGAGATAAATTCATAAGAGATCGATTAGTTTTTCTTTATTCGTTCTTAGATAATTTATAGTCATGCATCATACTTCTATAGAATAATGTAAAAAGGTGAATGAGATTGTAATATCGAGTTCATAGTGCATCCATCAAAATCCACGTTTACATTCTCGTAATTTATATGGTGTAACACAGAAATATAATGTTTAATGAAAACAAAATATGTTTTATTTTTAAGAAATAATTTATAAATTGAAAGAAAGAAAAAAAAATTCGAGTTTTCTTTTTATATTTTATAGAACGATTAATTCCTCCTATTTTCATTAATAACAATACGAAATGGAAACAGAATGCAGTTACTGTTGCTGGAGGACATGGACGAGGGAATCAACTAAATCAATTAAATCTGCCTTTTGGTATTTATGTTGATAGTGATGATGATAGTATTTATATTGCTGACACTGAAAACCATCGTATTGTTAAATGGGAATTTGGTGCGGACAAAGGTGAAATAGTCGCAGGTGGAAATGGAAAGGGAAATAAAATAAATCAATTAGATTATCCAATGGATATAATTCTTGATATAGAGAAAAAATATCTCATCATCTGTGATCATCGCAACATCCGAGTGATGCAATGGTCTCGTCAAAATAGCCAGGATCCTCAGATATTAATATATCCTATCGTTTGCTGGGGTTTAGCAATGGATAATACTGGAGATCTTTATATTTGTGACTGGAGCAGTCAGGAAGTCAGACGTTGGCGACAAGGAGATAAACAAGGTACACTTGTAGCAGGTGGGCATGGGCAAGGAAATCACCTTAATCAATTCTATGAACCTAACTATATCTTTGTCGATGAAAACCATTCAGTTTATGTAGCGGATTACAGAAATAATCGTGTGATGAAATGGATCAAAAATAGGACTGAAGGCATTCTTGTTGCTCCAGGACAAGTTTCCAGTGAAAATCCTAATATATTGTTTTATCCCCAAGGTGTGATTGTTGATCATATGGGTAATATTTATGTGTCAAATGGCGTAAGTCATCAAATAACGCGTTGGTCGTCAGGTGCACTAGAAGGTGCTCCTGTCGTTGGCGAAAAGAATATAGGAAGCGGATCCACGCAATTCAAATACCCATCTGATTTATCATTTGATCGACATGGTAATCTTTATGTTGCCGATAGAGACAACCATCGAATACAAAAATTTTTTATTGATTTTGACTGAAATAACTTTTGACAAATAATCATTTTTTGCTTTTTTAATGTGTTTTCAGTAACAATAAATAAACTTCTTTTAAAAATATAAATAATCTAATTTACCATTCATCTTGTAGACTAGTCTGTTCAGATTCCTTTTTTAATATCTAAAGCTTTTAACATTTTCTCTCTTTCTTCTATTTTTTTAAAGTAATTTATAGATACGCTACTGTTTCAACATCAATGTTTGCACGAACATTATTTATTTTTGGTTCAATTATTTTTTCAATTTTCTTTACAAGAATTATTCATATGCAATCTAGAAAAATCTTGCAGCAGTGAATCGAGTGTTATAACATTACGTACTGGATGATTGGTGGATCTCTGGTTGGATCAGTACGTCACTGGGATATCATTCTTTGGGATCGAGATTTTGACTTTTTTGTACCTAAAACTGATAAAAAAAACTTCTTAAACGTCAATTTCCGACAGAGCAACATGAATTGCCTTTGTATATGCGATCATGTAGCTTAAGACATGGACTAACAAAGACTTTTCCTGAATCGAAATCGAAAGTAATTCCGTCTACAAGATTTTATCCGTTTATTGATATATTTTACTACGATCAGAACAAAACTCATATTTGAGATCATAAACTTTGTTGTCATCATAATATTAGTAAATCTGCTGTATTTTCGTGAAGTATTCGACCACTTGGTTCTTTATTTCTTCCTGCTCCACGAAATCCATTCGGCTATTCTCAAGAGTTGCATACATCTTAGTTTTCTCATGTGGAAAGTGAATGTCATGTCAGAGGATATGCACCGAATATAATGAAGGTAATGTTCAAACCACCGATGATTGTAGAATGTAAAACTCTTTCTCGAACATATTCATTTGTACAGAGAAGAAAGAATAATATCGAACGTCTTATACTTGATGGAAAAGTTATGAAACAATTCTTTGGTACTACAATAATTTGATTCTTTGTCGATGTGTTCATAAAAATTGTTTTTAAAAAAATATTTATATTTTATTTTGTTCAAGCGATTTTTTAATTTAACTGTAAAGAGTGTTTCGTTTTTCTTTTGATCTTCTTAAGATACAAAGTATTATTCATCACCGAGGGTGTAAATGATATGGAATGGATACACTCACCCACCCTCACACCCAATGGTATTTCATCCGGCTTGGTAAATATACAGTTAAAGCATGATCTAAGTTTAAGATCTCGACTAGATCAGTTGGAACGAATTGATAAAAAACAATAATCAAAACACATTTTATTATTCTTATAAGGTATGAAATTATTTTGTTTTTTATTTTAATAAAAATTGAGAAAAAGATTATAGTTAAGAAAAAAAAAGTTGAAGTTAATTATTTGCCATTAAGACCCATACTGATAATTCAGCAACAACGATAAACAATAATATAATAAGAAAGACAAAATAATTTAAGGCGCTGCATCTACCTTCAATGTCTTTTTTATTTTTGCCTTTTGCCTTATCTTTATCGAAATCAGCTTGGCATGTCTCACATCTGTCGCAAAAGTCGCATTTTGGCTTTAGTTTCTCGTTTGTTTTGTCCATAGTTACAAGTTCTGGTTTGTCAACTAGCGTGAAGTAATGGTTATTTATTTTCGTAAGTGTATCATCTTTAACGAGAGAAGGCTGTTCTTTTTTTTCAATAGTTATAACTTTAGTATTCCATCGAAAATAAGAAGGTAATAGTTTCTGGCAAGAAGCACATTTTTTTTCTTGAATGATTGTTGCTTGTATACTTTCTTTATCTTCAGATTTTTTAAGTTCATCATTATTAACAATAACATCTTTTTTCTTGTCATCTTTGGGCGGTGGAAAGCAAAAAAGAAAAACTTTTTTTTGCAATAGTCCAGCAAAAATATATAGGAATTTTGGCATTTCAGCTTTTGATATAAAGTGATTACATATGACAAACCATATCATTGATATTAATGTCCAACATATTGATAATAAAAAGTATAATGTAATCATCATTAAATATTGAGATTGTTGTGGAAATAGATTGGAAAAATTCAATGAATAAACAGAATAGGTCATAAAACATGTCATGCCTAAAATACAAATACATTAAGTTCTATTTTGTATTCAAGAAAGGACAAGAATATTCTTACATAAACCAATTTGCGATCCAAAGGGTAATGTATATGATAACAAAGTAACACAATTTAATATCCAACATGCAAATATACCATTCATAATAAAATATAATGGTTTTCTTTGTAAATACAATTGTATTGTTATTACGTCATTATAAGTATCTTCAAATGGTGTCCTATCTGCTGATCGAATTACAACCATATCTGTTCCATTCAATTTCCACAAAGGATGTTCAGTATATCCACTAATATCAATTACTGCAGTACTATTTTCTGTATATACTAGCCTACTGGATCCTTGACTCCATGATGTTAAACTGATGCTGCATACTTGTTTATCGAATGGAAAATATTGAACATTAAAATTACATCTTGTTTTTACCGTTAATGCGGGTAATATCATATATACTTGGCCGGTGCTTTCAACAGATGCCAAACTATAAGTACTTATTGTGAGATAACCACTTGAATCTGCTGAATTCAGTATCATTGTATCTGGTATCCATAAACTTGTAACTGGGAGCATAACTACATCAATATTACCGTTTGAACTAGGTGTCCATGATAATCGACTATCCACCCAAGTTTGTGAAATAAATGAACTTGTTGTCATTGTTTGTTGTTTTTCATCTATAGCCACAATTTGTTGTAGTGCAGCAGTGATATCAATAGATACTGTAGTATCTGGTCTTATATTTTTATTATATGAAGTTAACAAGCTTGTTATCAGTGTTTGTTCAACTGTTTGTGACGCTGATAGTGATCCACAATCACAAAAGTAGAATAAGTAGTTTAGCAAGATAAGCAAAGGTAGTGGTCTTGTCATTTTGAGATATTTTATTCCAATGGGATAAATCAAAGCGACCTTTGAAGCAGTGTTTCACAATAAATGTTTTGTTTATACTGTTCAACGATGTTTCAGTGTAAAGTCTATTTCAAACGTATGATCGCCGAAATTGTCTGAAAAAAGATATTCGCTCTATTAGAAACTTTATTTTTCTTCAAGATGGGTGAGGGCAAGCCCGCACTCAAATCCAAGGTAAAAACAATACCTGCTCCGACATTCATACTCTCAACTGGAACTGAAGTATCTCGACTCTAGACTTCCCATATATCCTTCGTATACTCCCTCTGTTCTTAACTAGAGCGCCATATTCCTGAAATACATTATCAAAGACATAAGAAATCCCAATATTTTTAACTTACAAACCAGCAGGCAAAATTTTAAGGCACTTTTTGTTTTTCAGCTTTTTTTCATGAAAGAGCACTTACTACTGACATACAAATAGTGATTTCAATAGCTTTCAAAATAGCGTACAAATCTGCGATGATAATATACTTTTAAATTTATTCATTCGAGTTCTCATCATACGCACTATTTCATTCAGATATCAACGCTCTTCTCTTCTTGATCATGTACTTAAAAGGCTGAAATTCAAATAAAAATTCTCTTTACCTGTGACTTAATATTGATTAACTTCAACTAGTGATTTTCAAAAAGTATTTTTCATCAAAATGTAACCTATAGAATTCTGCATTGAATAGTATATAAACGATTTATATGATAAAAAACTCAGATCACTGAACTAAAAAGTACATTAGGAACGCAAATTTGTTCTGCTTTTCAAGAGCTGTTGAAATCACTGTTTGTATGTTACTCATGTGCTCTTTGGCAACGAAAGCTAAAAAACAAACGTTACCTTAACATTTTGTTTGCCACTTCAGCTTGTTTTGTAGTATGTGTTTTCGATTGAGAAAAAAACAGAAAATGAATGCATGACTTCGCTCAAAGAGAGAAAAAAATTTCTCACTTTCTCTTTTATTTTACTTTCGAACGTTTTTTGTATGAAGAAGATCTTGGCTTTTTACATAAGAGAGTAGAAGGAAAGAAAGGAAAATAAATTATATATGTGAGAAAAAAGAGAAAAACATGACCCTCTTGAAGCCGTGAGTTTGTATGTCAGTGTTAGTGATATACTTATTTTATGTTCTGGTGTACCCCAGATTGTAGACCTTGTCGAAGTACCTGTGCATCAACTTCGGGCATTATACGATATCAGAAGCCATTTAACTTACAATCATTTGCCATTTATTTTGAAATCAATAATAGTGCTATCAATTCATATTTACTTTTATTTTCTACATATTGAACAGAATCTTTACATCGATTATTACATTGTCATTATTATTTTAAATAAAATCAGAAAAGCAAATAAATAAATGCCATAATAATCGGAAACTACCGTATTTCGAAATGAAATTTGGATCAAAAGAGGGAAGTACATCATTTTCTATTCTGAATATGAAGAGTGATAACAAATTGAGAATATTATTTGAAAATTAGATATGATATAAATACACGTCATTATATGGAACAAAAGTTTATATCTGATCTAACAATTCCGTCACATATATTCTTACGGCGACTAGCAAGAGAAGAATGGTCATATCAAATACCAGCATTTCTTCAGATATCGAATCACTGAAGGAATTGCGCACAAAAAATATTCGATTGTGCTGAATGTTACTGTTGCATGTGCTCTTCCATTAAAAGCATTTATCAAGTTGAGTGTTACTTGCAACGCAGTATTCTTCACTTTCATCCATTCAAATGTTGATCATACAGCAAAAAGCTATTAAAATGTCGATGCGCTGTTCTCCTCTTCGAACAGAAATTGGATTTATTTTTTTATACAAACAGCGAGAATGAAAAGGAATGTGCCATTATCCTCTACGAGAAAGCTATCATTTACTTTCGATTTCATATTGAAACAGACGAAATTGAGTATTGCAAGTATAGAAAGATAGTAGATCTTGAGAGTGGGTGTGAATGTAGGTATACGATTATCTAATACACATCCTAGATGTATTTACTATCGTGGAATGATAATTGGCAAGGAAACTACACGATAGATAGTGAATACTTTTATATCATCAGTAGGAGCTTGCAAGAAAAGATTTGAGAGAGCTAAACATGATTAAAATGGTGGCTAATTTTGTGGGTCTAATGAACAATAACGTAAAGCAAATACAAATTGTTTCACGATTCTTTATGTGAAAGTAGGGGTGTGGGTGTGGGTGAGTCTAGGTTTGACTGAAGTAGAAATACTAACCCACACCCACTCCATATCACACTTTTGACTGTACGTGCGGTTTTGTCGAACAGTGTCAGTAGTTTTTAAATCACCGAAATCAATGGCAATAAATGGAATGAATCATGTCAATGATATAAAAATAAGCTTGATAATAGATCTCATTTCATCTTTAACATCATTTTTTTATTATTACAAGTTCTTATGCTACACCATGTGCATAAGAAAAAAAAATAGACAGAAGAAAAGACAAGTCAGATTTTGTGAATTGCGAGTGACAGTTATTGACTCAAGCGCTCGGCACATCTACAACGTGAGTATAGAACGGCAAAAAAAAATGAGAAGATAATAAAATACAACAGTAAATAACAGAGAAAAAAACTTGGAACAGATATAAGATAAGATGTAAATCACTGATGTATTTTAACGAACGGAGCAACACTTTTTTTGTTCTTGACAATACAGAGACAGGGTATAAAAAATAAAGGAATGAGTGAGTGATGCATTTTAAATATTCTCAAAGATGGAATTGGTAGTATTTTTTCCGCTACTAAAACCTCGATTTTTTGTATCATATTCATCTAGTTAGTCAGCACATCGATTATGGATTCGAATATCTTTATAACAAAAGTAAAATGTCTATGCTCCGTTCTCACTATACATGAAGTCAGATCCTTCTGATTTCTATTTTGAAGACAGATCAGGTTTGGTTGTAAGTATCTCTTCGCTTTAGATACCTACACCTTCAAAATTCTTTCTTTCAAAGAAATATTTATTAGATTTGATATTTATCCATGTATACAGTAATTTCAATTATATTAATTCTAGATATGCTATGAACAGTTTCTTTCTTCAACAAAAAAAGAATAGAAATTAGTTAGAACCATATATTTCTGTATATACAAAACTATTTGTTGCGTGTGTGTGTTTTTATGGAAATGTATTTAATTGTCGAGATGTGAGAATTGAAGTAGTATCCGATGAGATTTGCTTTTCAATAGTATGAAACAGACTTTCTACAAGTTACAAGAACAATTTACAAATGAAATTAATTTATTGAACACAATATTAGTAGAAGGCAACAAAAGAAAAAAACAAGAAGAAGGATGATGTGAGTGTTATAATCTTTTCTCCAACTATACAATCTTCGATACCCACACCCTGACCCTATTAAATACATTGAAATACCCATATTCATATCCACATCCACACAATGTAAAGGCGATTAAGTACGTTTATTAAAAACAAACTTTTCATAAAAATGAATTTCTCAAAATATTCCGTTACAAAAAACTAAATCGACTGATCAAATGTTTCTTTATCATAAGAGGACTTTTATTCATAGGCTCGATGACGCCAGCTTGTTTTGCAGCCCAAAATCTTTCGAAACAAGGCGTACCATTGTACTGCCAGAAGTAAACCGATGCTAAACGGATGCAGAACAGCTCCACGCCAGTCCTGACGAAAGCGAATGACTCCAAGAATACGAGGTACATAGGCAACAAGAATGTTTGTGGTAGTGACAGTAAAGAGCGTGAACAGATAAAGCCCGTTGGAAGTCGAATAACCATTCATCTGTTGATAGATCAGATAGCCAAAATTCAGAAATGGCTGAATTTGTCCTAGAAAGAGTAGTGCCGAGACGGGAACGATGAGAGCAGGAGCACCAAGACCTTCAACAGCATTCTTTGCTAGACCATTCCAAACCTCGCTGGCGCAAGTGTACATTCGACAACTAGCTAGATCCGTAATGTCGGCGATATCGGTTTTGAAACCAGCTTCGCGAAAGAGACGAGGCAAGCGAAGACCATCGTGCATAGTGAGCTTGATGCCGCTGTGTCCACCACAAGCAAAGTAGTGATCTGCGCGAGTCATAATGAATTGACCACATGCGGCACCCAATCCAGGTTCTGTAGTTGTTCTCATGCGTGAGATCGGAAGAAAACCGAGAAGAACAAAGTGTATCAAGGGGAGGAGCATCCATTCGAGCGATGTTTCTGTAATTTGTTGTGGAAAGCCACTGACTAGCGAATTATCGTCGAGGAAGTTGACCATGCGGACGACACAATCGGGTTGTAAGCGAACATCTGCATCGACGAAGCAAAGAATGGGATTACGAGCGACACGAGCGAGACACCAACATGCGTGTTGTTTTCCATTCCAGCCTAGAGGAAGTGGTGGAGCACGTTCAAGTCGAATACGTTTGTCTGTTTCAGCCAGAGCGAGAACAATGGCGTCGGTGCCGTCTGTAGAACCATCATCCATCACAACTACTTCAAATTCGACGTCACGTGTCGTGACAACTGCTTGAAGTGCAGCGGCAATTCCATCAGCTTCGTTTCTTGCGGGTATGAGCACGGAGACGGCTTGAGATTGAGCTCCTTTTCTCCTGCCAGGTTTGTCGTAGTAACCGAGGTTTACAATGAACAGAATTGTTGGAAAGAGTGCACAAGGCAGACACAGAAGAGCAAGTGCAAGACTCATCAGGTTATTATTAGAAATATGTGTGTTGTTTGCTAGATGTAGATACGTCTATATACTAAAAACAAAAAAAGATTTAAAAGTTTATAACGAAGTCGAAGTTCTATATTTATACTCACTATAATACAAGCGAGATTGTGTGCGATGATTTACTTCTTTTGATAAGACAAGAATGGCAGAAGAAACAAAAATCTCATCGCTAATAATAGAAACTCGTTGTGCCGATATAAAAGAGAAAAGAAAAGAAAAGAAAAAATAGCAAAGAAAAAAAAGGAAAGAAAAAAAAGAAAAGAAAAGAAAAAAAAATCGTTATTCTCGTCCTAGTCTACTAGTTTCGTTGTGACGAAGGAATAGCGGATAGTTTATTATGACGTGCAGGACACTACTTCGTCCTATTCAGTAGAAAGTTACGATTCTTCTTCTATACTCGTTCTTATAATACTGGTTATATAATCACAACTAGCAAGAGAAAAGAGAATAGTGTCCTTTGAAACTTTTTTCTTTCCTCCTTATCAAGTACACATATATGTTGTCTGTTATATAACGCATGTTTACGTCTTATGATGTTTTTAGTTAGACTTTGATCATGCAATGTGTCATGAATAATATAAAATTATCAAGTAATACAACAACTCCTGTTTACTGCGAAGAAGATCATCTAACTGACATCGAAGTCTACCTCGTATACAAGGCTCTTCATCGTAACTCTTACTTTCCCGATCCGCACGTCACTCATCACATTCTGCTACTGAAACCTACCCAACGAAACAACACATTCTATTACACAGATTTGGACTCATCCAATTTTGGATTTGGACGAATCAAAATTGTTTTTGGTCCATATTATTTCTATCCGAAAAAAACCATTTACTACAGACCACTCGGTATCTCACGCAGCAGAACTCTAACTGAAATCAAACAATTTGCCGAACGAAGTATACTCAACGGACAAACTTTCTCTATGTTCACACAGAATTGTCAACATTACGTCTCATCGTGTGTCGAATTTTTGGAAATCGATAAGAGTGGAGTGGAAGACAGTTATGTGTACTGGACGAAAGAAGCACAGGAGATGACATTGAGACCATCGTCAACAGCTCGAATGTTCTCGCTGAAACCGCTTGCTTGTCTAGCGCTCATCTGTTTCTTTTTAATTTTACCTTATTTGTAACACTCGATAATATTTACATGGACATACGAGGGTGTGTGTGAGATTAGGCCATATGAATATCCCGAATTTGATTGATTCTTATTAATGTAATTATATGTGAATTGACTAATAAAATAAGCAGAAATCGAATAGAAAATACATGAACAACAAATAGCAATGCCGTCGTCTATAGATGAAGCACCACCACCGTACGAACTAGCAATAAGATAGTTTTAATTAAGTGTGAGACGAATTGTTGTGAGATTTTTTTTCTTACCTATACTCACACGTGTATTTTAAGGTAGGGGTGAGAATTCTTTGTTATTGTTATAAATAACAAATAACTTTAATTTTTGAAAAACATCTTTTCTCACTCCATTGTATATTTTAATTGTGTCCGTTATGTAAACTTACATTTTGGAGCGAATTTTCTATATCTCTACTACTGATTTAGATGGTTCAATCAAGATAGGAAGCTAGCAGAATTTTCAGAAAAAAAAAATATTGTTATAAATGACAATAACAAAAAAAAATTATTGTTATTTATAACAAATAACTATTAGGCTGACCAAAAATTTCTGCAATACTTTCGACCCTCAACCTTTCCGAAAGTGTTGCAGAACTTTTTGGCCAACCCAGTAAAATTGTTATTGTTATTTGTAACAACGAGATAACAATAACTTCTCACCTCTATTTTAAAGATCAACATGATATTGTTCTTCGTTCAAGTTAATCGATTCGACTTGACAAAGTTTCAATCTAATCACTAAGTCTACGAATTGAGTTATCACTTGTCATTGATATGAACATTACACATTCACATTGAGTTTTCCTTAACTCATTACTCTTATTTTCAAGCAGTATTGTACGATGTACGTGTATCATTAGTGGAATAAAAGAGAAAATATCTTGTGCTTTGATGCTTTCATAATGAAATATAGGATGAATGTTTTTTTTCTCTCTGATTGATCCACACTCACACCCACACCAACATGTTTTCGTCGTTCTACTATATAGAACAGAATCAAACAAGGAATACCCAGTCACAATAGTAATAATCCACCATATAACGTATGCACGTTCATGATTTTCGTAGTCGATATTGGTATGCAAATCAACTTGACTTGATTGTTTTCAAACCACATAATTTCTTTGCCTATTGAGATCTATTTGTGTGATCGAATTATATGTCGGGTATTCGATAGCAACCTCTTGTAATGCTTGTGTATTAATAAATTCATAACTGGGTGAGAGCTTATGAATAACTTGATCATCATTTGTCTCCGGTCTTTGTTCAGTGTTCGATGTGTTTCTATCGACTGTGAGCATATCGATCGCTTTAATCTTATGTGCTGGAAGCTATCAATCTACAAATACTATGCATAAGACATAAGTCATAAATAGCCTATTTTCATAGATGTCACAATATCATTAAACTGGATATTAAGAGGGTGTGGGTGTGGAATGATATAACTACTCATATTGTCTTGTTTTTCCGTATCACTATCGAAGAATAACTTGAGAAAGAAGAGGAAGATAGTATAGTTTGTTCGTTCTTATTATGTTAAGTCATTTGTTTTCTGTTAATGTTCAACAAAATATCTTAACAAAATACGAAATGTCATCGACATTTTTTGTTAAATAAAGGAAGAGCACTTATCAATACCAAACAATGATATCTAATTGAATGAATGATGAAAAACAATCTTCTCCTGTTTATAAACTGTTCAATGTGGATATATATATCTCATCTCAAAATCGGCACCACAATAACAGAGTAGAATATTGAGCACTATCTTGGGTGGGGTGCTGAAAACAGAAAAGCATGAGTTACTAAACCTATGTCTGCTTTAATATTAAGCTTATTCTACGTTTCAAGAACACAACAAAATCAGTTATGACTTAATAAAAAAAAATATACATTCATGATTATAAGTATGTCTGGAGATATATAAAGCATGATAAACATCATTTTATTCAAAACGACGTGACTGCTGATATACTGAATCAGAAAGGCATAACCTGATGAACAAATTCTTGAGGGTGTGGCTGTGGGTGTCGATGAGTCTCTTCTCTATAGCCACGTCCACACCTTGTAAATGTAGCTTCTGCATATCCTCACCTTCATAGGTATGCTAATATCAGTACTATTATGCCATAAAAAAATGTTTTTTTAAATATCTTTTTAAGTTTCCATTTTATTCTTCTTTATTATAGGAATAAAAAGTAATAGACTTTGACATTCTTCTGTTTATGATTAAACAACTTCATATTCAATAAACACACCATAGGAGGTCAGCTTAGATGGACCTTGTAACTTGAGAATAATTTGGTAGTTAGAATCCGAAGGTTGAATGAGTTTACTTTCTGCTGGTGTTATTAAGATTTCTTCTCTTCCAAATATTCTAAAAACATTTGTAATGGCACCCATTGTACGATCTACGTTAAACTTAATCGAATACTGTTGTTGTTTTTCTGTGATTGGTGTTTCGATAATCATTGTTAGATTATCAACAGGGTACGACCAGAAGAACTTGACTGAAGTACATGTTTTTGACGTATCTGTATGAGCCAAATTGAGCGTCGATGATTTGCACCCACCTCTAACACTGACTGTACCTTCACATGGATCCGTACCATAAGAGTAAAAGTGAGCTTCACACGACTCACGCATATTATTGTCTGTAACAGGTACACCTTGAACAATTGCTGCTACCATCACTGCCACTAACATAACGATATAGATGAAAATAGATGCCATAGTTTATCAATAATAAACAAGAAATATTTTGAGTTACTTATATACGACGTAGATAATGAAAGAGAATGATAAGACAAAAAAAGTAAAGCTGGTATTAATAGTTTGATGCCGATCAAATTACAAAACTAATCATTTTTTTTT